TAGTTGCCCAAACTATTCCAACTGTGGGAAAAGTTCCTTTTGTGCCTTGTACTCTGATTTCCTGTGAGTCCTGTTTTTCTCTCTTAGCAATTCGTGTGTGTGTGTGGGGAACACCTGAGAAGAACAGAGTTTTCCTTCTGTAGGCTGGAGTAGATTAACCAGTCTTTTTGGTAAATCTTAATTTTCAGCTAAAATACAAAGAAGATAAAATCTTGGGTAGTGTGTGTTTTGTTAAGTAGGATATAATGAAATATCACTCTTCATACTGCGATTTCATTTATGTTATAATCCAATGTCTGTCTGGAAAGTGGATGTGTTGTTAATTCTTTTAAAGAGGAAGTCTTAGTTTGGAAGCTCAAGGAGAACTGCTCGTGTGTCTTCAGAAATAAAAATGGTTTTACGTATTAAATATAGTTTTCAGTAGTTTTAAGTATTTAAAAAGCTGCTGTTGTCTTCTGCACTGCGCAGAGCTGTTCTAGCACACGAGATTGCTGAAGATAATCTGAACTAACCCAGCGGTACTGCCCAGACTGGAGTTGTAGTGCCCAGACTGGAGGTCAGGAACATAAACAGGCAAAAAAAAATGCAGAAATAAGCTGGGGTGGGTTCCCTACCCGCGCCTCATTTTTTCAAATGCCTAATTACTTCTTAAGAAGCCCTTAACCTACCAGCTGCACGTGAGAAAGGTCTCTTCTTCGTTTAGAGTCCAACATCACCGCTCTGCTGCTTTCCTTCGGCGGGCGTGCAGGACGGGGTGATGGAGCAAATGGCTCGGATGCTGCTGTTGAGGTGAAGAGATGTTTAAATGTGCTCAGTGCTTAACTCTCGCCTCCTCCACCCCTTGCAGAATAGCCGGTGTGGGAGAGCGTCACTCCGTCCGTTACGACCGTACCGTGGATATGCTACCCCCTCGGGAGAGTCTGGGTACGTGGAGGGTTTTGGAGGGTGGGATTGGTTCTTCTGTTGTGTTGGCCAAGAGGGAATCTGCTCCTTAGTTGCACGTGAGAGCAAATTGGTAGTGGAGGGATTTTTTTGGTTGTCGAGTAACTCATATTCTCACGGTTTTGTGTGTTCCTTGTTTGGTTCAGTCACATTTAAATGACGCAAATCCAGATGATCAATATTTAGAAGGAAGATTGTGGGTTGCCGTCTTGTCTTTGGGTCAGTCACGAACCGGTACGGTGCCAGGGATTCACTGGTGCTGAAAGTGATTTTAAAGCGGGCGCTGGGTTTGTTGGCAAGCTTGTGGAGCAGAGTGCTTGTCCCCAGGCGTAAGCGAAGGACTCGCAAACTGTTCGATGTTTCTCACATAATACAATTTACATAACTTTTCCCTTTTCTTGCCCCTTCAGCGTTTCTGCAGGCAAAATCATTGGGGCAGGTGTCCTCTTTGTGGGTGGAGGGGTAGGTGGAACCGTCCTGTATGCCAGCTATGATCCGCAGTTCCGGGAGAGCGTAGAGAAGGCCGTTCCCTACTCTGATAAACTCTTTGAGATGGCACTTGGCCCCGCGCCTTACAGCGCCCCGACGCCAAAGAAACCGGTAAGGGTTTCCCGTTCACCCCCACCCTTCCATTTTCCTTTGTTTTAAAGAGACCACCTGCTCTTAGTTTTCAAATTCTGGTTAATTTTGCTGTGTGCTAAGAATTTAAGAATTTTTAAGAATTCTTAAATTAAGAAAGTTTAAGAATTAGGAACTGAGGTGCTGTGTTGTGTTGCATAACAGTGATGCTTGTGCATTTCCCATTATCGTCTTGTGATTGTGGTCTGCAGGTTGTAAAACTTAGTTTTATTTGCAGTAAAATAATGGAGTCGGATTATAAGCTCTTCTGCTTATACTCAGATGAGTTGGGGGGAGAGAGAGGTAGGTGATGCATTGGAATTCAGCTGTTTCACTGTGGCTAGGGGTTTAGTGTAGTTAGCGATGTAGCAGGATTAGGCAACTTTGGTTCTAAGCTGAATTGATTCTGAAGAAAATAACTTTTCAGGTCACTAAAACTTTGAACGGTGCAGAGCCGTGCGTAAGCAGTGAGACACAGGCTGTTTGGAAAACTGACGATATTCCTTATTTTCGATTTTTCAAGATACAGCAAGGTCCACTGAAGATCTCATCTGTAGCAGAAGTAATGAAAGAGTCTAAACAGCCCGCTACCAAATCCCAGATGAGCAAAACAGAAGCTGTTGCCCCTTCAGAGGAAAAAGAAGGTAACTACAGAATGTCCTGTAGGGAGAAGCAAGAGACTTCATCATCTCTGGCATCATACATCCTAGGGTAGAATAATAGTCCTTTAGAGCGGCTGAAGATGAGTATGTTACAATTTCTTAGAATTAATGTTATTTTCTTTTCAGTCATGAGAAAATTTGTCTAAAATGGTTTTAGCTAGTTTTGGCTTTTTTTTTTTTTTTTTAAAAAAAATTTATTTACCTTATAGAATATTTGGAATGTAAGACAAACAAGGACTATTCTGCACAGCTAAGTTATGAGACTCAGCAGGGAGAGCAGTTTGGGTGCTGCACTCTGAGGCCATTTACCTCTTCTTTGCACAAATGTGAGCAGCTTAATTTTGGGTAATTACTGAGTTACTGTAAAGCGAGATCAAATGGAACTGGTTTAGAGAGGAGCAGTTGTGACATGTTTTTACGTTTATCTGTCGTGGCCCTGTGTGTGTGTATGTGTAAGTAATACCTGGTTGCTGTTTTAAGTCCAGGAAATTCTCTTTCTCTGGAAATAATAATATCAGTGGCCATATAATGTGTTTCTACAGAGGAAAAAATTAAGTCTTGTATCCCTGTTCTTACATTATAGCTCATATATATTAACTGGATTTATTCTCTACCTGTTTTAACAGCAGGCAAGGCTGCAGCACAGATCATCTCTGCAACAGGTGTAGCCATGTCAGTGCCAGCTCCGGGGATACAGACTGAAGAAGGTGAAAAAGATCATATGAATGTGAAGAAAAACCAAAGTCCTGTAGCTTCGAGTGCATAAATTCTTACTTCTGTGTTGGTATTTGTCAGTTTTTAAAGGCACGTTCTTTGTGCCTTTTGCAGAAGAAAACTTCCATCATCTGTTAATAGATTTTTTTAACGTACTGAGAAGCTGAGATTGATACCAGGACGGGTATAGGTGTGAATGTCAGAGGAAAGCCTGCCTTTGTGCTGAACTGGAACTTGCACAGTCCAGTTTGCTTCTGCTCTTCGTGGCTTTCTGACTGCTGTTCAGAAAAGCCTGTCTGCCCAGGGCCAAGTGAAGAAACTGCATTTATTGTTTAACTCCACGAGAAGCACTAGCTTTTATATGATAGTCCCTTGCAGATGAGATTATATTGATTTCCTTATGTATGAACACATATCATAAAAAGTATGCCAGCAGTAAGTAAATACTTTGTCCACAGTTAGCATCAGCATTATTAAAAGGTAATCTGATGGTTTTTGTTGCAGCATGAGTCTGAGAGCTGAGAGGTCTGGGCTCTCTCCTCAGTTCAGATGCAGACTTGCTGTTGGTCTTGAGAGAATTACTTAGGTCAGTGCTTACTCTTAAACACATTTTAAGTAGCCTTAGGGTAGGGAATAGAGTGTAATTGTGATTCACCATAGCTGCCTCCCTAATCTTTCTTTACTTTGGCTGGACTGTCCAAGCATGTCAAAGGAGAACTGGAAAAAAAAAAAAACAAACAAAAACCCCCAGATATTCACTTAGAATTTAACCTTGGCTCCCCAAGTGTTTTCCAGTTCTTGCTTTGCCTTTCACTTCTGCATCTTGTACGTTTTTGTAACGAGACAATGTAAAATCTACAGGTGCACGTGAGGTGTCCATGCTACCATTTTTAATTTTAAGAAGATATGAGACTGGCCTTTGTAGTTACAGCTATAAAAAGTAGTTTCAGCATGGATTCGTGCAGAAATTGGATTTATAAAGTGATACTGACTATAAAAATCAGTTTTGAAGAGAAAGTTAATTCCCTACAAGTAATCGCTATAGTAATTAGAACTCTCTACTAAAACAGTTCAACTTTGTACTTCTGAATAGGTAAAGAACCTGAAGGTTCCCATGCTATAAAAGAGCGGTCACCAGAAGAAGTTGCGGCCCGGCTTGCCCAGCAAGAGAAAGAGGAGCAAGAGAAGGTATCGGGTAAGTCCGTACTGACAGTTTTCCTGTACGTGTTATACGTGACAGAGGAGCTGTTGGACTGTGGTGGCTTTGGAGTTTTAAGTTGCTTACGTACCTTTTTGTTGTTGTCTCTGTGTTGTGTCGGCAGAATGAGTCGTGTTGAAGCTTCTTCCACCCACCAAGAGGTAACTGATAGTCAAAGAGTGATGGACAGTTCTGGGTTTGAATGGCCCTCAAGGTCTCTAGTCCACTCCCTCTGCTCGGAGTGTTGGGGCAGGTTGCTCAGGGCCTTCTCCCCTGGAGGTTTGAAGCTCTTCAAGGATGGGAGATTGTTCCACCCCTCTGAGCAGCTTTGCCAGCGCTTCTTGCGATGGAGAACTCGATACGTCCAGTTAATTTCTCTTGTTGGCACTTGGATCTGTTCCCTCTTGCCTTTTCTCTGGGAACCTCTGAGAAGTCCGGTTCAGTCTTTTCTGGAACACCCCTTTAGGTGTGGAAGGCATTACTTAAGACACCCCTTTCACTTCTCTCCTTCGGGCTGGAACAAGCCCAAATCCCTCAACCTCTCGCCTGTGTCATGTGCTCGCGTCCCCTGACCACCTGAGTGCCGCTCCGCTGTTCTCTCCCCAGTTGGTACGTTTGTTGTACTGAGGCTCTCAAAAGGAGGGGCCGTATTCCAGAGGCAGTCTCCTAAGGGCCAGTTCGAAGGGAACTGTTTGTGGGTGGGCTCTTGTTTGACGCAGCCCTGTGTGCGGTCAGGACTCGCGGCTGCCAGAGCACGCTGTTGACCCGTGTTCAGGTCGCCACCTTTGGGATCCCCAGATCCTTGTCTACAGAGCTGCTGCCTGTGTTCAGGGACGGTATGTCAAGGCGCTGTGAAGAGTTGCCTGTCGCTTCTGCGTTGGGAACTATGACAACTCCTTGCTTGGGTTCTAACTCACAGACCTGTGGATCCAGCTGTAGTACTGGGAGGTGGTCTGGCTTTTCCTGTGTCCCAAAACTCACGTCCTCCATGTGTCTTGCTCAAAACAATGAGCTTTGCTTCCCCCTTTGGTTTATTAGATTTTAAATACTTCTGGGCTGTTGTTTGGTCTTGGTTTGGCTGCAGCATGATTGTTTAAATTGGGAGGTTTGGGTCCTTTCCTGGTTTGCCTCAGGGGAAGCCAGATATAAAATAGAGAAATTCTTTTTGGTAGATGGTGTTGTGCTGTGCAGTATGTCTGGGCAATCTGTAGCCAGCTACCTTGATAGTTACCTTCTGAAAGCAAACCCAGCTCAAGCTGCGGCTTGCTCACGGTGTTAGAAATCTTCCCTGTTGTCCTCCAGCCAGTGTTGATGAGGACGAGAGGGAGATCGGGCTCTTGGAGAAACAGATGGGTGTTGAAGGGTGACTTCTGATTGGGGGCAGAGCGAGGACAGCTGACACGCGAGGACATGGCTCTGCAGACCTTCTGTGGTGAGGGAAGGTGTCTTTGGGGGTGGGTAGGCTAGAGGCATTGACTGAAAGCTTACTGTTAACATAGGTGTAGCCAGTGAAAATAGGCTTGGAGGGGAGTTTAACAGTGCTGAGGGCACTTAGCGGACACGGCTCAGCCGGCTGTGGGAGCTACGGCCTCTTTGCTGTATTGGTCTCTTTGTGCTCGGGAAGGGCTGGTGGTGGAAGAGGCGCTGGCGCAGTGTGCTGCGTCTGATCTGCCCTGCCCGACCGCTGGGCACGTGAAACGGGACCTTGGCAGATGTGTGGACCATACTGGGACTTTCCTGCGAGTGCTTTGGTCCTCAGCCAGAGTCCGAGCCTTGGGCTGTTGTTGCACGGGGGGAACGAGGAGGATGTTCGAGCCTGGACTTAACGGGCTCGGAGTAGACGTGCTGGTTGTGGTCTGCTGCTGCCTGCTTCCGTTCAGAACTGCGTGTGGTGTAGAAGAGCCGCACGAACAGAAGCAAGAGGCTTGGCATTAGTTGTTGGCTTTGTACAAGGACTTTTTTGCAAGTGAAGAGGTTGAAACGTTACACTGAAAAAATGCAGAGGAGCGTTTACTGGGAAGGTGGATTTCCTTACCCCACTTAGAAATACAGGTCTGACTCCACAAAGGAGAATAGTTGAGTCCACCACCTTCTTGGCTAGAAGAATAACTCTGCTTTTGGACTAGATCTTCCTTGTGGGACATAGGACAACTTGCTTGTTTCCTCTTAATAACCACTGTAACGCATGAAGATGGAAAATACCTATGGGTTTAAATGCATCCCGCTGCAGAAATGTGGTAAAGGTCTTCCCCTGAGTAGCTTTACAGACTTGCACCATAGTACTCCTCTAAAAAATGGCACCCTTTCTTCTCCTCTAGGCTGCAAGCACAGTTCCGAAGGACCAACTCTTTTGGGTCATAGCAAATAACATAAGGAGGTGCAGAGGATATAACGTGTCATTTTACTAATTCTAAGGCTCTTTTCTTTACAGTTTAATTCAGTTAATTCATTTTTTTTTTTCCCCAGCCCTTGCAGCAACTCTAGAAGGAGCCCTGAGCGCCACAGCTCGTATCACCCTTCAGGCGATTACTGCCCAGGAGTCTGCTGTGCAAGCGGTGAACGCCCATGCGCAGATTCTGAAGGAGGCCATGGACAATTCTGAGGTAAACTGGACAACGGGGACAATGATTTTGGGTTTGTTTTTTTTTTGGACAAGCTTTTCTTGCGATGTCTTTACTTTTATCACAGTTTTAACTAATCTTTCCACTTGTGAAATGAGGTGTAGTTGAATAATACAGTGGGTTTGCTTTTGAATTTTGGGCTTTCCCCCCCCCCCCAACTCCTTTATTTCCCTTTTGCAAGAAGAAAAGTTCAAGTTAATACATTGACAGTCTTCATGTTGTATTTTAATTCATTGTATTTTGATTCCCAAGCCCATTTTTTTCCTAGATACAGTCAGGGTATCACCTGTCCAATTGCTGTCCACCCTGATAATTCCATTGAACCATTCCCTTTGCCAAAATCTTATTGCTGGATTGTTCGCCTCTTGTCTGGAAATGAGTAGGGGATGCCTGAGCGATACCAGCTTGTGGTTGTGGTGAGGTTTGTGTGGAACCACTGCTTCCTATTCAGTTCTGGAGCAGAAAATATAATTAATCAAACAAACAGGGGCACATGGGCAACTGAACAAGCACTTGAGATTTAAGCTAGTGGTTAGAAAAACAAGTATCTTAAGAGTTTGCTTTTAAGCTTAAGTATTAAGCTTACTTTAAAGTGAAGCAACTTTAAAGTGTTATGGTACTGTAAGTATGAAGCTTAAAAGCAGCTTTAAACTATTGCAGTGCTCTAATACACGTAGAGATTTCCCCCCAAAACGTTGTGGCAGCGTACAGTGATCCTCACACGAGGATCTGTGTTCTGCGTGGACAAATGGCTATTGCTCAAGTGGGAAAAAACCATTGAGAATCAAACAAGAACAAAGCATCGTAAGAGAAGAATCATTTGTAAAGTTTCCAGCTGTGCTGTTGGTAAAACACAAGAGTGTTTAAGTGAAATGTTGCAGCAGTGTGTGAATCTCTACAGGCTGTCGGTTTTTTGGTAACTCTCTTATTTAGTGCTTGTAATGACCCTAATTAGGAATCTGTGCTTCTTAGGCTGCTGGGGAGAAAAAGTCCTCTCAGTGGCGCACGCTGGAGGAAGCGCTGAAGGATCGGAGGAGAGCGGTGGATGAAGCCGCTGATGCCCTTCTGAAAGCCAAGTAAGTGGCTTGTTTTTAAGGCTCACAGAGGGGTAAGTTACCGTCACCCTTGCGAGGGCTGGCAGACACTGCTTGAGTTTCTGGAAAGGGTGCAGTCACCTGTGTTCCTACTGAACTGACGTGTTTGTGCCAAATCCAGAAAAGGTTCATGCGCTGCTGAATGTTTGAATTTGCAGTGTGTCCATCTTGGGTGCCTGTGCGTATAGTCCTCGCTGTAACAGAGGCTGAAACGTCCCGTTCGGCTTTTTAAGAACTTGTTTATCACCTTAGTACTTAGATATAGTGTTGGTAAGTTCAAGTAAGACTTAAAAAAAATCTATAATCCTTTTGGTCTTGTTTTTGGATAGTTTTGTCACTGTTAAATGTGAGGAGTCCATGACTGCACGCTCTGTGTATTGAGTCAGTAATGTCAGTAGCTTCTTTTAGTTGTAATGAAAAATTAAACTTCACAGCAGCGTTTGGCAGTTCCATCTGTCAGCAGAGTTGCTTTTAAGGTTAGATTCTTACTAAGCTCGTGTCTGAGAAAAACTTGAACTCTGAAATGGAGCACGGCTCGTAAGCCAAGGGCCTGTACGGACCGCGTCGACTCTGGTGTGCAGACTCATTGCGTAGGGATTCTAGCAGCCAAAATAAGACGGCAGACAAACATCTCCAAGTTGCCCTTGTAATGAGGATAGAAATAAATTTGGAAACCCTGCGATGCTTCTGAGGCCGAGAGGGCAACACCATCCTCGAAGGTGCACGGTTGCTATTTCAGTTATAAATAGCAGGGCTGGATGGGGCTTGGAGCAGCCTGCTCTAGTGGAAGGTGTCCCTGCCCATGGCGGGGGGTTGGACTCGATGGTCTGTAAGGTCCCTTCCAGCCCAAACCGTTCTGTGATCCTGTAAACTTCTCTTACCTTTGAAGTGAACTGCGCTGACTAAAAATAGTTGGGAGGTGTAAAACAAAGCTAACGCAAACGTCAGATGCACTAGCTTTTATTCTCTGTTGCTCCACTGGATGCCTTCGCTTTTATTTATTTACTTAACTTATTTTAAAGCTTATTCCTTTTTCCAATGAGGTCATTAGAAACCTCCCTTGGTTTGACTGGATTTGGAAAAGCAATGCTTTTTCACTTTTTCCTTGATTTCCAACTATGCTAGAGGGAAGTGTTTCTTTCTTAACTACAAAAAACCCCCTAAATCTGTCTTTACAGAGCTATACATTTTCTCCCATCCTCATTTATCTCCACCAATCACCAAGTCCAAAACCCTTCTGCCAGAGTAAGCCATCTACATTAAAAATGTTTCCTTGATACCCTGTTACGTGATGGAAGTGTCTGCCTTCTAATCCTAACTTAATTTTACTAATACTAACTCCTTTCAGTGAACTTTCTTTCATTTTCCCCCTCCAGCTAAGTCTCGAGTGCTAATTGCCCCATAAATAGTTCTCATTTTACATGGACTAGACACACTGACGTCTTTAGGTTTCAGGCTGTGGACAAAAACCCGCTTTAATCGCAGCATCTTAGCCGTAGAGCTGGTAGATAGGAAGCAGCAGTAGAGTTATCCAGTAGTTCTCGTGTAAGTAGAGACAGCATAAATGAAACTTCTCTTTGGGGTTATGTCACAAGACCTGTATGCGTTATAATTAGCAGCTGCTTCTCTTTTCAGAGAAGAGTTAGAGAAGATGAAAGGTGTCATCGAGAACGCCAAGAAGTCTCAGATGGCAGGAGCCAAACCCCACATTATCGCTGCAGAAGAAAATCTTCATCATATGATAGTTGACTTGGACAATGTCGTGAAAAAGGTAAGGCTTCCCCAGGCCGTCGCTGCCATTGGCGTGAGGACTGCTTGGCAGCTTGTGCAGACCTCCCATTCCCAAATCCTCTGTAGCAGGTTAAATATTTTAAAAGTGTGAATTCCCTCCTCCTTTAGCCGTACTCAGTCCTTGAGCTGATTATACTACCAGTAATCAGACGTGACAAGATCTTTGCAAGAACTTGAACTCTGTCCTGAACGAGTCTCCAGCAGCTTGATTGGTGTCAGCCCTTCCTGTGGGCGACTTGTTGTTCTTTCCGTCTGATTCCAAGAGGAATTTAGCGTGAGGCCGGGGAGGAGCAGGAGCCACGTGTGCTAGTGACTTGTGGGCAAATCACTTCCCAGCTCCGGGGAACTGGGGAAGAAATGTAAAGGTGACATTTCTCTCTCTTGGCTGATAAATCATCAGGTGTGTTGGAGGGAATTTAGCCAAACAGTGGGAATGTCAGAACTTGCTGAGAGCAGGGCAGCTGTCGCCGTCAGAGTAGCTCACTAGGCCTGTAGGACAGCTGCAGGCAGAGCGCCAGAGAGCTTTAGAGATACAGACTGACTTCCAGACACTCTTTGGTCCTAGGCTACAGGGAGGTTCCAGCGTGTGTGTGACACAGAACGGATTAGTGGTACTTCCAGCAGAGCATTACTGTATACTAGAGGTTTGGTATCACAGGGTGGGGGTTTCTCTCCCCCAAATGACTTTGCTTTGGCTGGGCTGGAGGGCAACGGTACCTGCCGCTAACTCAGGGCCTGGCTTTAACTTAGATATGCCTCCGTTCTCAATAGCTGCCCTGGAAAATAAACCAATCTCGTTTTTGTGTGTTTCAGGTTCAGGCAGCACAATCGGAGGCCAAGATAGTAGCTCAGTATCATGAGCTCGTGGCTACAGCTAGGGAAGAGTTTCAGCGAGAGCTCGACAGCATCACCCCTGACGTACAGCCGGGCTGGAAGGGGCTCAGTAAGTCTCTGGTCGCAGGGTTACTGCGTGCTTGTAACGTGCCAGTCACTTCGGTTCGTAGTGTTCCTGTAACTCTGGCCACCAAACTGGATGTCCAGCGTCCCGACTGCCATTTTGTTTGGTTGGTTTGAAGTGAAAATTAGTTCCCACTTAAAATAAGTAATCTAAAGCAGTTGTTATGGAAAGGCTTCATCCTGGAAAGTACCTGTGCTGTATTGAAAGCTTGGCAAAATGCAGCTCGTGTATGATAAATATCGTCATGTGGTTGTTTAAACTCTCTTCCCTCCCCTGGTATTCCAGGGAGGGAGCCAGGTCAGTCCAGATTTGGGTCAAACCCACGTTGCTCACTGCTCAGGTATTCGTCTGGTTGAGTCTCAGGTATAATACAGGTATTATAACTCACCGTTACCGCAGAGTGCTAAAGAACTCCCTGGATTTCTCTAGATCATCGCTGAAACGATCGATACGCTGAAAGAGAGAATTCATTGTTCGTACCCTGCCCACCCCAGTACGTTATTTTGAAATGAAATTAATGCAGTAACTTACCCTGAACAACCGCCAGTGCTGCACAACCGCAGGGAATGGGCGTCTTCCCTTTTTTTATGCTGTTACTGCTGCAGTTCCTTGCCTGAGATCTGAAATCTCAGGAGCTCCTGTTCATTTGAGGTGCTCAGTTTTTTCAACTTGAGCTCTTTTCTGCTCTGCTTGTAACAGAAAAACCCATGAAATGCGATTCAAAAGCACGGTTAGACTGCTCCTCTCGTACTAGAGGAATGAACGTATTGCCTTGAGCTGTTGGAAGTGTTCGTACACCAGCGTGTTGCAGGAAGGGAGCGGGACTCGTGATGCAGTCACGATGGTTTAACAGCCAGCTCATCCACAGCAACCCCCTCGCCCACGGGCACCTTACTTACCTTCAGTCTAAAGGGGAGCAATCGCAGAAGGTGGGGCGTGTGTGTGGGCCGTCGCTGTGGATAAGCTGCTGGAAGAACTCGAGTGTGGTACGTCCACAGGGCAGTTACTGCCTGATGTAGTTCGAAAAAGTTAATTCCCTAAAATACACCTCCCAGATATTCCCAGTCAGGGTTTTAACATAAAACGTACTAAGTGATCTCGGACTTTTCTCGCCTCGGTGTTCCGAGGGAGCTGTCACGACTTTATTTCCGCGTTACGATAGGTTTGTTTCTAGATGCGATAACGACTGTTTGAAAAAAAGGCGGTGTCCATATTGCCTGACGGTTTTCTTGAAGCACACTGCGAAGGCTCACGCCATACTCTTCCTCAGCGCTGCTTTATGCTTTAGAAATGTGGACCTTAGTCCGCAAAAGTGTTTTCCTAGCTGAAAGAATACACCAGATCTCTGGAACGGTCAGGTTTTGTTTTAAAAAAAAAAAACACAACCACTGTGGTCCCACTACACGTGGGGAAAACGTTTTACATTAACAAATCGTTTGCGGAGTTTGCTTTTTGGGGTATTCGTTTTGAAGAAAAAAAAAATACTTAGGCACCCTGGGGATGGAGCTGCCTTTCCTTGTGCAGGATGAAGGGAGAACATCTTGGGGTTTGAGACTGGTGCCCTTTTGAGGGAGGAAAGGGAATCTCCTGGGAGCTTCCAGGCACTCGGTTTCATACTGGTGTGACCTACGGAAGTACAGGGGACCGACCTGCTGGGGCCCGTGTCTCTCGCTGCCACTTGGGAATTTGTTTCTTCACCACCGGCTGATTTGTAAGAACCCAGAAATGTTGGACTGAAACGTCCAGCGTCCTGTTGCACTTCTCTACTTCAAACTCGTTTTCCTTTCTTTACACATCGATCTGTGGTTTCCAAAGGTGATTTTAGTGGTTGGGATGTTTTGGGCTACATCTTGCCTGTAATACAGAGACTTTTATACTCGACATACTGTTCTTCCTGAGTTCCTGAAGACTTAGACTCACGCTTAAGTAGAGAAGCAGCTCTTTTCTGTTTTACTTTTGCATGACTGACTTGCTGTAGTGAACGTGCATTAACTTTTCCAACCTCTCCTCTTTCTGTTGCAGAGATAACTGACTTGGGTGAGTTCCTGTAACTTGTTCTGGTCTTGTGAATGTCATCTCCTCTCTTTGTCCTTTTCTATGTCTGTGTGGTACGTGACTTTAAATTACAGGCAGTATCAACAAAGGGGTGAAATGCTGCATTCCTAAAACATTTCAGGCTGAGGTATGGTTTGGGATCCTTTCCACTGATTGTGCACCCGTAGCTTACACCACAACTCCTTGTCTAGCGGCACGTCCCAGGTCAGTGTGATCGCTGGCTTGTGAAAGCCAGGTTTAAATTTTCCTTGTGACCTTAAGGCAGCCGATGCGTGCTGCTGAGATTCCACCGAGAACCAGAAACTCTGACCAATTCCAGTTAAGCTGCGTGATGGTGTTTGTCCTCAGGTGGGCCCACCTCGCAGCAGTCCTGGCCTGCGAGAGCTGCTGGATACACCAGCTCCTGCTGATGCCGCTGCAACCCCTACGTACTTCCTGTGCCTCAAAGCCGCGCCGGGCTGGGTCACCAAAACCAGATTCATTTAATTTGAAGCCAGCGTCACTCTCTTGAGTTTAATCTTCACGATTGATTTTAGAAAAGTTGATTAACTCTTTAGTTCTGAGGTTGATTATTACTTGTTTTTTCCCTTTTGACCAAAGAAACATAACACTGGAGTGCAGTAAAAGCCCGTTCCGTTGGTAACTGTTCCATTCACCAGCTGAGCTCGGCGCTGCTGGTCATGAGCACTGCGGCACCGAGCCCTCCTGCGCCAGTCCCTCCCCCGGCACTCCCCAGCAGGATGGCTGGAGGGCTGTGGAACCTCCCTTGCTCTGGACCCTGCAGGAGCCCTTTCCCGAGTAGCGCCGGGTTCTCCGTGCAGGCGATGTACCTGCAGTCAGGACAGAACGAGCTGCAGCGTTTTACAGAGCCTGTGCCGCTCTCAGCTCACCAAACCTACAAATGCTGCAGGCGTAGCCTGTCTCCTCCTCCCTTCCCAGCAGAAAAATGGCAAAACTTCTTAGGAGACACAGATGTAGTTGTCTCGGCTGCTCTTTGAGTAGCCAGACCTGAAAGGTACCGCTTGGGGTAAGAAACCTGATGGGGAGCTGGAGGACTGTTGAAGAGAGAACGTGGTTCTGGCTGGCTCTCACAGGGACTTCAGTGTTTTCAGGATCAAATTTCCATAGGCGTGTACCCAGCTGGAGGTATCGGTCACCACCGGGGTTTTACATGTCCCACTGCTCTGTGTGCTGTCACGGGGGGAAATACATGGTGGTGCAAAAACGACCAAGAAAGGGACAGAGTTGTCGACAGTCACCTCCGAGTGAGTGTGACCTGGGAGTGTAAAAAATAGCTGTGAATAATTTCAAAGTAACTAAGATAATTTCTGTCCTAGACAGAAAGTACTGGCTTGTAGGCACGGCTCAGAAAGCTCGAGTCGGGGGTGGGCAAGCACCGCAGCGGCAGTGTCCCTGCAGACCTCCCTGACACCCTGTGTTTCCTTCAGCTGGCCAGCTATCGATGGACGACTTGAATTCTCTCATTGCACACGCCCACCGTCGCATCGACCAGTTAAACAAGGAGCTGGCGGAGCAGCGAGTGAGGGAACAGCAGCACATCGAGTCTGCCCTGGAGAAGCAGAAACTTGAAGATAAGAAAGCATTTGAGGCAGCTGTGGCCAAAGCGCTGGAGCATCACAAAAGCGAGATTGAAATAGAACAGGAGAAGAAGGTAAAGTGGCGTCAGGCGCCTGGTTGAAATCTCTGGCTCAAAGGATGTAGAAGAGCTGGAGGAAAGGCACAGAAGGGCAACCAGGATGTTCTGAGATAGGGTGACCCCCAGGCTAAGCGTGGGAAGAGGCTGAGCAAGGAAACTTCTGTGGAGTTAGAATGGTGAAACCAGCAGCGAAACAGGGAATGACTGTTCCGTGTTCCCTCTCCGCTGTTGGAGATGGGATCACTGGGTCAAAATAAATGTTTGATCTGACCCACTATGGCCACCTCAAGGTTATGTGGCCCCTCCATCCTGCCTCTGGGGGGTACCTCCCTGTTCTTCCACTCTTTGCCCGTGGTTTGGGATTTGATTTCTCTCACAAGCACTGTGGAAAATCAGAATTTTAATGCTGCCGTGGTCATGAAGCAAGTGCAACTTACAAGCGTAGGAATTTGGGCATTGGAGGTTTTATCTCCTGAGACACCATATTGCTGCTGTTTCCACATACACAGCTCTGAAAATGAGATTAAACACTGGGCCTTTGTGGAAAAATTTGCACTGACAGGAGGGAAACAAAGGATTTTGCCTGTCGCCTGTTAGTTCAGCGCACTGCAGTAACAGGTATTGATCTAGCGCCCTCAGCTGCTTGAACGGGCAGCTTTGCATTTAATGGAAGGTTGGAAATAACACAATCCTTTAAAAAAAAACCAAAACTAAAACCAGAGAACCAAAACCCTGTTCAACTGCTGGTAAATAAACCCGCACCAAGCCCCCTGCGCCGCCCTGCGCTCTCTGAAGTGGCTGGTCCATACAAGATCAGGTACGAGGGGCGTTACCGTTTCACTGAGCTGTATCCCAGCATGGAGGGAAAAGGTGAAGTCTGTCTGGGAGCTGGTCTGTGAACGGCAGCGTGGTTAGTTTGACACGTCGCTGTATCTTTGGTGGAGCAGTTCGGTAACGGCGCTAAGCGCCCGGTGAGTACCCACCAGTGAGTGGCACTGTGAAGCTGTTCTCTAACACCTTTAGGAAAAGGCTCAGCGATGGAAATGGACCTCGGCAGGTTTGTAAGGTGAAACGTGGGCTGTGCCGGTGCTGCTTCTATAAAAGGTGCCCCGGGGGATCACTGATGGAGGATAGAATCGTAGCATGTGACAAGCAGCAGGACGAGAGCGGTGTAATAACAGCCGTCCGTCTGGGTACAGGTTGAAGAAGTCCGAGAGGTGATGGAGAGCGAAATGAGGACCCAGCTGCGGCGGCAGGCTGCTGCCCACACGGACCATCTGAGAGACGTTCTTAAGATCCAGGAGCAGGAACTGAAAGTGGAATTTGAGCAGGTAAGGGAAGAGCCCCCAAGGGAATCTGGGGGACGTCTGAATCCTTGCAAAACACATGGTTCGCAGGATGGGAGTCCTGACCCACCTTCCAGGAGACGGAAACGCGAGCTGGGGAGGGAAGAGCTGATAGCAAGTGCCTGAAGGCACAGGATTTATTCAGACTTGTCTTAAAAGCTTTTGCTAGAGGTGAGAAATTTTTTAGTTACAATTGCAGTAACTGTTAAATTCATCCTAGTAAGGCTTGTTCTGTACAGTGTATTTACTATGTGCATTGTCCCTAGCAAGAACAACAGATTTATAGAAACATACCTTAAAAATAAGGTAAAGACAATCGAGCAGCTGTTTCTGGTCTGGTATTACTTTGGTATAAATATATCCTACAATGTATGTCCTACAACAAGGACACTGATGTGCTGGAGAGGGTAGCCCACCTCCGTACCAAGCTAGTAAAGGATTTGGAGCATGTCTCATGGGAGGAGCGGCTGAGGGATCTGGGGTTGTTCAGTCTGGAGAAGAGAAGTCTGAGGGGAGACCTTATCACTCTCTACA